ACTCTCCTGCGCGCGCGCAGCCTCGCGCTCTGTCTCCTCTGAGGCGATGGGTCGCTCGATGGTGCCGCCGCCGCCTCAGCCTTAGCCGCGAGGCTCCTTGTGAGGCGAAAGAAGCCGCCGCCGCCGCCATTATTCTTACACGCCGCCCCTCAGGCTCTGGTTCGGTCGCCGTCGTCGCCGCCCGCCCTTCGTTCCCCTCAGGGCGCCGGGACCGAAGGAAGGAAGGAAGGAAGGAGGGGAGAAGCTGAGGAGAAAGAGGAAGGAAGGAAGGAAGGAGGGAGGGGAACATGGCGCCGCCTCCTTCTCCTCCCGCTGCCGCTTCGGGTCCTTCTCCGCCCCGCCCCTCGAGCCTGGCCCGGACCCCCCCTCGCCGCCGATGCCGATCCGGTAGGTATTCCCAGGCAGGGATTGGGACCGCCGCCGCCGCCTCTTTTTCCTCCTCCTCACCCCCATCCTCTGCCATCGGCCCCGCCCCGGTTCCCATTGAGGTGGTGGTGGTGGTTGGGGGGGGAGGAGGAGAAGAAGAAGAGAGGGAACAATGAGGACGAGGCGGCGGCGGCTGCTCCCCTCTTTCCCTCCTCCTGAGGGACCCCCGTTCACCTCGGGTGTGAGGGGGAGGGAAAACGGAACGGAGGGATCGGGGAAGGGAGGGGGGTGTGGTGCAAAGAAAAGACCCTTCCCCGCCAGGGGGTGGGGGAGGGGCAGGTAGCGCCTCCTCGTCCCCCTCCCCCTCTATGTGTTTTCTGCTCCCCACTTCAAACCCCCCCCTTTGTAGGACGAGGTCTATCGAGGGAGGGAAGGGAGTAGCAAAAGCCGCAAGGGGCAATAAATAAATAAATAAATCTCTGTTCTTGAGGAGGGCGGCGGCGAAGGAGAAGAATGTCCCACCCGTCCTTTTCTTTCTTCTCCTCTCTCTATCCCTGCCCCCCCCACTCCCAAACAGCATCAGCTCCCAGATCCTGTTTGGGCGACTAAACTTCAGGTATTAAGAGCAGCCTTTCTCTCCCCCCCCCTTTCCTGCTTTGTGCATATGACAGCCTCAGAGGATGGATCCTTGCCTTCCTGGAAGAGTGGGGGGAGTAAGAGAGTCCCATCACTTCCCAGCTACTGAAGGGTTGAGGGTGGATAGCTTGGAGGCAAAATATGGGGTCTTTGGAGACTTGAGAGGGTAAAAGTGAAGGGAAGATAGTCCCTTAGCTCATCTATACCCCCCTTGTGGGTGGAGTGGTAATTGAGGCAGAGGTGGATAGAGTACCCTCTTAGCCGGATGCACTGGGGAAAAATGCTTGAGGTTGGGAAGGGGGTGGTATGGCAGTCCTTGGAATAATAATTGAGGTGAGGTCAGAGGGGGATAAGGGGTTCTCTGTCACACACACACACACACACCGAATGTCTGGTTTGGTCTGAATGAGAATGGAAGCACCAGTCACTGCTGTAGTTTTTCCTTGGGGTGTTTGAGTGAGATCTGGTCTTGGTGTCATGGAGTAAATACAGGGCTGAAGAAGGAGAGAAGTATGGAAGAATCCTTTCAGGGAATGTCATCTCTGGGTGAACCTTGGGCAGTGGCTGCTATTTCCTGTAGGGTGGGCCCTTTATCTCAGATGCATACCTGGGGACTGGAGTGGGAAATTGGGCCATATGTTGCCAGTTGTTTTCTCTCCCAAAATGTGGTAGTCTTTTTCTCCTACTTTTGAAAGACCTCAGATGTGTTGAGAAGATGCATCAAGAGGGAAGTGAATCTTTTCTTTATGCTCCATTGAAGCTGGGGAATGACGCTGTTGCTCTTGTTTTTGGAGGGAGTATATATTCCTCAAGTGTGTTTGACATAAGGAGGAATAGAGGATATTTTTTTCTCCTCATGGTGAATGCATTTTTCCTTCCCCACTTTTCTGCATAAAAGTATAGTAACACTGGCATTTTTCTTCTGTAACCTTCTTGTAGGGCTTTCTGTATAGGAAATGTGCAGCATTCAAAGCAGTTTGTAGCCTCTTTTGTTGAGGGCAAGGTTGTGGGATCTTTTTTTTCATTGTTGCTTGCTTCTCTAGCTAAACTGGGACACCTCTGAGCTTTCTGGAAGAAGAAATAGTGTAGTCATTATGTGTGTGAGTTAGTGCTATGAAAGTTTGCATGTTGATATACTCAAACCCAGTGTGTGTTTTCCAAATAATATTTATCAGTATGATATTAAACCTTTTAAGATGGTGACAATACAAAAGATGGTTGACCAATGTACCTGGAAGGATGGTTACCATCTTATTCATTATGCCTATTGTTGCATGGGGACATAGGGTTATATAGTATCAAAATAATCTTGGATTCTTGTAAACGTCATCTAAAATGCAGAGGGGAAAACTGAGGAAATGGGTTGTCAGAGAACATTGCTCTCTTCTGACTTTTGCCATGAAGTTTCTTTATTTCATGAGTTTTTCCCTCTTAATATCTCTGTAAGTATAAAGGTTCTTTTACCTCCTAATATTGTATGTACAGATTATATGTTTCATTGCTTTTGTGTTTTCCTGAATAAGAGTGGTTGTGTAAGTAGGAGTAGGGGCCTTTTACATTAGAATCTCTTATATTTGTAGGCTTTTTGGGAAGGATTATTTGCTTCAACTTTGTGGTGTTTTATAACATGTAAAGATGTTATATTTCTCTGTTTCAGGATTAAGGAACAGTCATTTTAGCACTCCTTTGACTTTACTTGGCTTTGAGCTTACTTAATCATTTGAAAGGAAGAAATTTCTCCAAACATAAATGTATCAGATTCTTTCAATACTTACAACTCTTTACCTCATTTTTTGGTCTTAGTTAAGTATCCATCTGTGTCCAGGTATTGTCAAACAGCTTCCTTTTTTAGTTAGTTCTGAAATAAGTTGGAATGTGCACAGCTAAATGACAAGCAATGGGCACTCCATTTACTGTAGGTAAACTCTGGTGTCTACTTTTAGTCATTAACTGCATTGTAGGGCCCTGACTTGACCTCTAAGCTAGGCTGACACATTTGTTTAAGGTTACCTCTTACAGTAATTTGAGAATGTCAGTAAATACTGTTTGATAAAATTTATTTATAATTTAATGATTCTCATAACAAGATAGGTAACTGGGCCTTTAAGGTTTTGGTTATCTAAAATTAGTTGGCTAGGTGAGCTTTAGGGCTTTTCTGAAAGTTCTCTTCATCGAGCATTTCTAAGTGTTTGAGGTGGTTAGGTAGGGTTTTTTTTTGGTAACTTAATTTTTATAGAATAGCGCACTGAGTTAGGTATCTGACTGTGTAGCCAGAGGTTAGAGGTTCAATTCCCCATTGTGCATTCCAGAAGAGCCAAGCCTGTGTAACATAGGGCATGCTGCATAGTCCCAGGGCACCCCTACCTGAAGGACCGCCTCCTTCCATATGAGCCTACCCGGCAGTTAAGATCTAGCCAGGGGGCCCTTTCGAAAGAGCCTGCCCTCAAGGAGGTAAGAGGGATGGCTTGTAGACAGAGGGCCTTTTCGGCAGCTGCCCCCAGACTATGGAATGCCCTCCCGACTGAAATTTGTCTGGTGCCGACGTTGATGACATTTCGGCGCTAGGTCAAAACCTTCCTGTTCCAGAAGGCTTTTAATTGAAATAACATCAACTGTGGGTCCTGATGGCAATTTTAATTGTATTTTAATCATTTTATCTTTTATTGTATTTTAATTGAATTTTAATTGTTGTAAGCCACCCAGAGACCTTTGGGTAGAGTGGGTGGCATATAAGTTAAATAAATAAATAAATAAATGGAAGAAGGGCCTGGTAAACCACTTTCGAATACTCTCTGCCTAGGAAAACCCTGAAACGGGTAGCCATAAATCAGAATTGATTTGACAGTTATTATATTACCAATAGAAGCTTCTAAGTCTAGTTATATCTTTTAAGTCCCGCATGCAGAATAATAAGCTGGATCTACATGCTTGATGTTGGTATGAATAGGATCTGGTCATTCAACTGGTTTTGTTGAATTGGTTCTGCAAAGCATTGTTTGGCTACTCAGACTTTAAGTTTAGAAATGAGTGTACATGAATCTAATCCTACAAATCAGTTACGCCTTGGGTTAGTCACCAAGAAAAAGTGTTTCTTGGTGACACAAGTCAAAATAATTTCAACCAGTCATAAAGTTCTAATTGTAAATTGTGTTAAATAAATCTTAACAAGGGTCCAGAGAGCATGCATAACATTAGCTTTTTCTTTTCTTTTCTGTAAAGTTGGTTAATGATAATCAGTAGGGAATTAATTTCATCTTGAAAGGCCTTTTAGAATCCTCTGCATCGGAGTACAAGACATTCTGGTCTCAGAAATTCAAGTTGTTCCTTTTTTAGTGAGCTCTGAAAATATTGTGAATACTAGATTTTTAGCATACAGCTATAAATACCCCCCTCCCCGTAAATTGAAGTTCTCGACCTGGCTTTTTACCACCATTTACATTATTTGAGAGAAAAGTTATTTGTGTTTTTCTGTGAGAACATTTTATATACAGTGGTGCGTCGCTTTACAATTGCCCCACATTACGATTGCCTCGCATTACGACGATGTTTTTGTGATCGCAAAACGAATAGGGGTTTTTTTGCTTTGTGATGATCGGTTCCCTGCTTCGGGAACCAATTCTTCATAAAACGACGATTTTACAACAGCTGATCGGTGGTTTCAAAATGGCCGCCGGGTAAATAAAATGGCTCCCGCCTGTTTTCTGGGACGGATTGCTCGCAAGACAGCCAGTGAAAATTGCCGCCCTATGGAGGATCTTCGCTGGACGGTGAGTTTCCAGCCCATTGGAACGCATTGAAGGGGTTTCAATGCGTTTCAATGGGCTTTTTATTTTCTCATTAAGACATTTTCGTTCTACAGCGATTTCGCTGAAATGAATTGAAATTTCATTTCAATTGAAATTGAAATTGAAATGAAATGAACGTTTTAATGCAAGGCACCACTGTACCGTACTAAGAAGTAGACAGCTTCAAGGAGAACTGTTTAATGCAAGGCACCACTGTACTGTATTAAGAAGTAGACAGCTTCAAGGAGAACTGTTATTCCCCTATCTCAATCTGGGCAGCTGGTTTGATAGATGCTTCCCCCCCCTCCCCCGTGCTAATTGTTCTGAAGGAGACAGTTCAAAACAAATGATACATTTACATCCATTTTGTTCATGTGTTGAGAGTTGAAGAAATCTTTGGAGGTAACAGTTCTATGTGTCTGTTGTTGAGGTTCCTTGTCTTGAAGAGTTCTGCATTTTTCAGTGCTACTTCATGTTTATTTATTTATTAAATTTGTACCCCGCCCATCTAGTCCGAAGTCTACTTTTCTTAGGAAGAAAAAAAATTAGGTCCTTAGGATATGCTAAGTCAAAGAAAACAGTAGTATGTTCAACAGATAT